GCGCAGAAGGATAGTTTACCGCATCCACGACCCATCTTGCAAGACGCGTGATATGCAAACAACATACACTCTAATCGAGGCGCATTGAACTCACTTCGACCATCACGGTGATTTTCGCCCGTGGGAAATAGTCGTCCTTCAGACAATTCGCACACTGCTCGGTGAGCATCCAGTACATTCTGTTGACAATATTAGAGTCTTCCTGGTACCTACAAATGACGAATGTACAAAATCGGCGACCACGTTCGACTTCAAACTGACACGCACTTCACAAACAATCTCATCAACTTTTCGCGACTTACTTGCCGTTCGGGTCAATGATGTAATTACGATAAAGCATCATGAGCGCCGAGTCGGCATGCTCCATGACGTAACGTGTGCCTTCCTCGTCCTCAGCGCCTTGAATAGTAGCTTGTAGGAGTACCGAGCCAGAGGGGTATCCCAACTGGGCAGTCAATCGACCCTTCATGTTGTTGGCCTCGACGAGAGCTTCCCGGACGAGCTTCGGGTCCACATGCTCTACGTCGTAGCTCAAACCGATGGGCATGATCTCCCGAATCACAGAAGAACCGACATAGTCCCGTAGCCACTCTTCGAAGGTCGCCACAAATTCGACCATTTTCTCACCGTTACGCTCAACCACATCGCCGTAGGTCATCCAGAGGACCCTCGAGCCGGCTCCGGGCAACTGACGAAATGCTCGCGCAAACTTCACCAAGTTGTCAGGTTCGACGATGCCCTTCCAGTTGGAGTAGTCAGCAACGTTGATATATACATCACCACAGTTCCAGGCCATGCCAATGTCGGACTCGAGAAAATCGAGGAGATCCCGGTTGCCAGCCCGCCAGAAGGATTGATCCCATGAGTAGGTGCCAAGGCTCTTGCCACTACAAGTGCCTTCCGACACGGAGCTACCACCGGCTTGGGGCTCATTGACAGATTGCCCACGTAGGATCTTAGCAACCGCTTCGGCGTCACAACCGGAGAATACAAAAGTAAGGTTCACAAGCAGGGCCGTGGAGAGGATAAGTAGGAGCATACTAACAACGAATTGATCTGAAGAGGAAGAAGACGGAAATAAACGGTCTAAAGTTGCGCTGTTCACAGGTCATGTTGGTGGTTTCAAAAATCCGCCGATTAAAATCTCGCTCGCCCCTATGATCGATCGCATCCGTGTTGGCTATTAATAGTAATTAATAGTAAGTTAAGGAGGACGAACAGTCACCATGGTAAGTCGGGGCTGTGGGGTGTATAGATCGCTTTGCGGTTTTTCAAACGTTCAGTGGTAGCATCAACTGTATAGATTTCGTTGTTGTGATGGTAGGTTGTTAAGACCGAGCTTTGCAGTTATACGGAGTTCCGTGTCTACCCTGGACACGGCCAGCGCTTCATCGCTAAGGACGGGAAGGTAACTCGGATGAAGAAATAGGACACTCTCATGGTGTCTCTCTCCAGGCACATTTCTTCTTCAACTCGAAGGCCGCCTCCCTTTTCCAGCAGCGCATCAAGCCCGTCAAGTTGACTTGGACTGAGAAGTGGCGTCGTCTGAACAAGAAGGTCAGGACCACTGAGGTACTACTACTTCATACATCCAAGTGGTGACACGCATGCGTCACCGGTATAGGTCGCCCGCAAGAAGACTCGTCGCACTGTGAAGGTCCAGAAGGCCATCATGGGTCTCTCTCTGGAGGACTTCCAGAAGAAGAAGTCTGAGCGCACTCAGCTCCGCAAGGAGGCTGATGCCAAGAGGGCTGCCGAGCTTAAGGAGAAGGAGAAGGCCAAGGCTGCTCGCGCTGCTGCTAGCAAGACTGCTAAGCATCAGGAGAAGCCTGTCGCCGCTAAGA